CTCTCCGCTCCCTCCCTTCTCGATCTCAGCCTCTGCATCTCTCCGGTTCCATGTGGAATCCGTGGAAACCAAGATCCTCCTACCTCCAGGAGAGCACGAGAAAGGAGGGACAATGGAGAAGTGATGATGATTCGATAGGTAAGATGGAGGGAGAGGAGGGAGAATGGAGGGAGAGGAGGAAGAATGGAGGGAGAGGAGGGAGAGAGGAGGGAGAGAGGAGGGAGAGAGAAGGGAGAGGAGGGAGAGAGAAAGGAGAGGAGGGAGAGGAGGGAGAGAGCAAGGAGAGGAGGGAGAGGGGGGAGAGGAGGGGGAGGGGAGGAAGAGGAGAGGGAGGGGAAGGAGAGGAGGGAGAGAGGAGGGAGAGGAGGGGGAGAGGAGGGAGAGAGAAGGAAGAGGAGGGCAAGGAGGGATGAAATGATGATGATTGTTTTTTCTTCCTGTTTTCTAGCAAGCGAAGCATCCAGTTTCTCATTACTAGTAATATTATTGTTGTTGTTATTATTGTAGATTTTATTTTATTATTGTTATTATTGTTATAAATAATAATTTGATTTCGTTATTTTATTTATTATTATTAATAATTTATTATGATTAGTAGTATTTCTCTTGCCCGCAGAACAAATCAAGGACAGGCATTCGAGAGGAAAAATCCTACCCTAAAATCTACCACACCGGCGTGGCAATTCTACAATCTTCAACCGAATAGAACGCACGGTCATCATAGCTTGCCCCAGTCCAGCGATAATAACCGAGGGCAAGGAGGGATGAAATGATGATGATTGCTTTTTTTCTTCCTGTTTTCTAGCAAGCGAAGCTGCAACGGGTCATCCAGTTTTGAAGATGGTAGGATTGCCACGCCGCTGTGGTAGATTTTAGGGTATTAATAATAATAAAATAACGAAATAAAATTATAACAATAACAAAATAAAATCTACAATAATAGAAAACAATAATAACAACCCAGTCCAGCTATAATAACCCTGCGCTCTGTTCGGGCGGCAACGGTAGCGCCTCAGCTATAGTTCCCTGTTTTTTGGAAATTGCCCTTTTTTTAAATTTGAAGTTTCCCTTTCTTTCTTTTTCCTGAAATTATAAATCGTAATTCAATCAATCAATCAACCAATCAAATCCGTGCAGGTATTCTGAATGGGAAAGTATAATGAAAATACGGTAGTATCCGTTTAAATAAAATCAATAAATGAAAAATTTAAAATATATTGAAAAAAGAAAGACCGCTGTATCTGTCCCATCGTCTTTTTTACTGTTCCTACCTAGGCTATTACCGTCTTGACCCGAATAGAACGGCCGCTCATTGTATCTGTATCTGGTGCAGCTTCCAGACTAGATACAGCGATAATGACCGGGCGTTCTATTCGGGTAAAGACGGTAGACGGGCCGCCCGGGTCACCTTGTTTGCCCGGGCGGTCCGGCCGTGCAAGGACCAAAGAAGGTCCCAGCAACAGAAACAAAAAAAGCAAAAAGACTCCCCCAAAAATCTATTAAAAAAAATGTATGCAGAAAAATAAACTGAACAACATCGAAATTTCTCATCAAATTTAAAATAAAAAGTAAATTTAAAAAGCATTTTATTATATTTTATTATTTTTATTTGTTTTGGCCCGGCCGGGCAAGTGGTCCTGGGCCACTCGGCTTGCCTAGATTCCTACTGTTTTTTTTTTCCTTTTTTTGTTTCTTTGGGTCTTTTTTTTAATCTGTCCTCCTATGTTTTGGGTTGAAGAATTATAAAAAAAAAGTTTTATCTGAGAAAAGAAGCAGATTTTTAAAATTTTTTTATTTGTTATTTTTGGAGTCGAAAGGGTCGTCGGATGATATCCAGGGGCGGGGCTTCTGCGCATGTGTACGTTCCTGCTGACGTCTTCCCCCGAACACAACCGCCCTCATTTTGGGTGTACCTAACTTGAAATATAGCTCGTATACATTCATTATCAGCCTGCGTTATGTTTGGGGGAAGACGGTATAGCCCGGGGACTGAAAATACACTGAAAATACAATCCTAGTTCGCGGTTGTAGGCACAGCTCAAAAAACCATAACCAGAGAAACCCTAAACCCTAGTGCACTGACGTGTGCTAGTTATCGAGTCACAAGGGTTC